TCAAGCCTGTAATGGATTTTACTGCCTGGTAATGGATTTTACTGTCCTTTCAGGTCCTGCACAAGGAGCCTCTTCACAGTATTCCAGCTACCAACAGGGACAGGGGCAGCAATATGGAAGTTACAGAGCTTCCCAGACAGGCCCATCCGCTCAGCAACAGAGGCCTTATGGCTATGAGCAGGTAAATTGTCTAAATCTCTGCTCTGAAAGAGCAGATCTGGCTGTTAGCTCTGTCTGTAAATCTGTCTGATAATTTGGTGCAGGTATATGTGTGATATTTCAGTAGGTCTTGTAAAATTCACAGACCAAAAGAAATTGCCTAACTCGCAGTAAGCCTCCAATATATTGTCCTTCAACATTTCTATTTCTTTCTCTTTTTTTAACAGGGACAATATGGAAATTACCAGCAATAAAAGAATACAGTGCTGTGTCAGATTCCTTTCAATAGTATCTCAATCTTTTGAACTGGATGTACAGGCAGTTTTGATTAATTGTAATATGTTGGTTACCCCTTAGCACAAAGCAGCGTCTGTATGTGAACAGTGTTCATTTCATGCTGGATATGAAGCAGTGCACTACTGGTAACAAGACAATGCTTTAATGGTTTGATATTTGGTGCTGTGTATAGTACTGTATGTTGATACAACGCAGAAGTTTTCCATTTACCCCCTCTTGTCCCATTCTTGATGTTTCTAAATAGCTTTAGGATCATTAGATCACAGTTGTGCCCCGTTCTGGAAAACAGCCAGGTTGTTCTGCAGTCTGGCTCAATGCAAAGCCCATCAGTCACATCTCAGTCCAGGGAAGTTCCCTGTGGTAAGTTGTCTTTTCTTTACTGGATGCATTGAAGATTACCTGCCAGCCTCCAAACTTCATGGTTCTTCAGTTTATTTCTACAGAACAAAGGGATGGAGACATTCCTTATAAAAAGACTGTTCTATGTTATATGACAAAAAAATAACTGCAACGTCTGTAATACCTACCCTACCCAAATCCTATAATTCAGTAATCAGCATAAGTCCTCATTTGTGTTGTGAAAGCTACAGAAAGAGGATCCAAACCTATGAAATATTAATAAATAGAGGCACCTTTTATATGTCCATATAAACAAAGGTATTTCTGTCGTGGAAAGAAAACCAGAAGGGAGCTCTGAGACCTGCAGTGTCAGCCTGTTCGATGTCAATATTGCTTCATATCATGCTTAGCTGAGAAAAACATCTGGCAGAAGTCCCATCTTGAATATCCTACTCCAAATTTTATAACATGCATATACATTTTTTGTGCCAAATTTTGCAAGCAGGTGGCTGGCATCCTTCTTTATTCTGATTCTTGCGCTGCCCTTGCTCAGATTCCCCAGCAAGCATTATAACCATGAATATTGTCAAATTTGTTGGTCTGTTGTTCTTACAGCTCATGATCACTTTTATTTTCCTATCGTAGCTTGACAGAAAAATAGTTCAGAGGTAAAAGAAAAAAATGCATCTTTATTGCATACAAGCAATTAAATTCAGCTTTAATAGTGAGACACTATTATGCATATAGAGAGGGGAGTTATTAATGGGGTCAACCAGTGAGAGAATACCTATAGAGGGAGAATTTAGAGAGAAAACCTAGTGGTATGTAAAAATCAGTATGAACAATGTAAGTCACTTCTATTCAGTTTTATATGTTCTTATAAAGTCTTTTTTGGGGGGGGGGGTTTGAAAAAAAAAAAGGCACTTTTAAAGTGCTTATATAAGTGTTGAACAAAATACTGTGACCAAATTTCTCTGAAGCAAGAAGCTGGGGTGGCTGTACCCCACAAGCATTTTTTGATATGAGATTTACTGCAAATTTACAATCTAAAGTAAATACACTCTGTAGGATTTTCTCCTTTTCTTTGTCTGAATGATGTTATTTAAGGGATTTTGAGTACTTTATATTTTGAAAAATGGAGACCACAAGGGAAACAAAACATCTCTCAATTCGTTACATTTTTTTCCTTTAGAAGAACATCTTTAACTGGACAACTAGAGAGTTTACTATCAAATGCTATCCAAGCACTGTCCTTTGTATGTTAATAATTTCAACTACTGATAAAAATGAAGACATTTTTTTTAGTCAGTTCTCATTTTTCTCATCTTTCCTGCTGGTGTTTTCATACAAATAAGTACTCTCAAATAGCAAGGAACAGAAAGGAAGTAAGATTGTTTTCTTTATAATAATTACTATTACAGGTAGCCAGAAGAATGCAATATTGCTCTTTGCCAGTTTGGGAATATGCCTTTTATGTGGTTTTTGAAAGTGCTGAAATGCTTTTGAGAGAATATGAACAACACTTAAACTGAAACAGCAACATTACATCAATCTGAAATGTCTTACATTAAGAACTTCGTGAATGTTGTGTATATAATGTATTTGAAAGAGCACTTTGGAAATAGTTTGTACATTTATTTCCTAATTTATACATGATTTTTGGTGTTAATATTTCTAATTGTTAATAACAAAACGTTTATTTAATGTGTCGTCCATTTTTATGTATTAATGTGGAAACAAAGTGATGCCAGCATTTTGACTTCTTCCATGAATTGTATCATTTTCTGTTTTGTAATACAGAATGCTTGAAAACTGTTTAGTTTAAATATTATCTGAAAGTGGATTTGGTGGTACTTTTCTTGCGGCAGATGGAATGGGTAGCTCAGGTTACCCTTTCCTTGGGGTGCTGGTGGGTGCGAGCTGGACGTGCCTTATATATATATATATATAAATACATGTATATAAGGCTGAGAGAATGGGGTTTGCTCAGCCTTGTTAGGGGAGCTTCGGGGTGCCTTAATTGTAGCCTTTCAGTGCCTGAAGGGAGCTGTAAGAAAGACGGGAGACTATTTACAAAGGCCTGGTGTGACAAGACAAGGAGGAATGGCTTCAAACGGGCAGAGGGCAGGGTTAGATGGGGCATTAGGAGGATGCTCGGTACTGTGAGGGTTGGGAGGCCCTGGCACAGGTTGCCCAGAGAAGCTGTGGCTGCTCCACCCCTGGAAATGCTCAGGCTGGACGGGGCTTGGTGCAGCCTGGGAGGGTGGAAGGGGTGGAGTGGAAGGAGATGATCTTTAAGGTCCCTTCCAACCCAAGCTATTTCGGATTCTGTGGCTCGCGGGCTGCTTCCGCCCTAACACCTTCCCGGCACACTCGGGCCCGAGCTGAGGCGAGGATGGGCGGGGCTG